TGGATTTCTCTAAAAGCATGAGTAGAAAGTATAAAATTAGAAGAAAAAAATTAATCCGAACATAATGAAATTAGGCTTTTATTTCCCTTCATAAAAATCCTTCAAAGACTCAGAAAAGAGACACATTCGGCTACAAAACGGTGACTATAGAACCCTCACCACGAGGATTTCTCGCGATACAAAAACACAACCCTACCAACTGAGCTATCGCACTGCTCGGCAAAATCTGGAAACAAATACACATGTACCTGCGTACGTATCATAAAAGTTTCGTAGAGGGCGATAAACAGCCATGTGTAATGGTGTAGTTTGGGAAAAGAAAATTCTCTCCGGCGTCCCCACTCTGGAAATTTGCTAAGCCTTTTCACGAGCGGCCTTTTTTTACGAGGGTCCCCAAGTATTTGATTTTACGGAGACTGGAAAAAACCTGTCTACCTTTCAACACGGATGCTACATACAACCCCTCCATTCGCCCAGCCCTATGGTGAGAACGCTGGCTGCGCACTGGCGGTTGCCCTCTTTGAAATGGGCTTGCTCTAACAAAAAAACCTAAAAAAAAAAAACCTAAAAAAACCCCCAAACAAACAAACAGCAAGAAACGATTTCAAGAACAGACGGTCGCAAATACTGCTCTTGTTCTTTTTCATTATTTCCTTAAGTATTTTAGGAAAAGAAACAGGATAGACATTGCCTGCTTTCTCTTCCCATAATGCTTTTGTGCTAAATCATTAAAGTGATATTTGGGACACGATCTAGTACAAAATTAGTACAAAAATCCCGGTTAATGACACAGTTTAGTGCCTTTACCTCCATTTTGAAATTAAAGATTATCAAGCCGGTACAAGTGTAGTTCAGGACACCCCTATTTTTTTTTTACTGGTTCCGTTCAGTAATATGCAATCAGGCAGTAGATTGTTGTTTAGAATCATTAGAGGCCTTTCATAACCTCATAGGCCCTATATGACTTTGGATGAGAAAATGTGATAAACAGCCAGAGACGTGCGAACCACAGAACACTGTACGCAGTCTTTTCATAGTTTGAAAATTTGGGACTCTCGATGCTGTTTATGAGCGTCCCAAAACGTAAGGTATTGATGAAAACATGCAATACAAGAAAATAGACTGGTCTTTGAAACAAGCAGTCCAACAACTCTTCAGTGCTGCATCAATCAACTGTCAACTGACTGTGCCAAAAGAAATATCTAATATGTCGGGTACTAGGTCACTATTTGTACACATTTCTCCATAGTGAGGTGGAAAAAATGTTGCAACCTGACGCCACGTCTGCGGTTGTGTACAAGGTCTATGGAGAGTGAAGATTTTTTTAAAAGTATTTCTTAACAAAAATGGAAATGTTTCTTAGTTCAAGATTCATGTCTTATAATCATTTTTGCAATGACTGGCCTTCACTGAGATGATATAAGAAGAAAAAATATGGCGTCAGGTTGCAACATTCTGGGCTAACGTACGTATAGCAAAATGTAAAATTACCTCAATAACCCTGGCTCGATACGTCTGTTTATGGCGTCATTCCAATGCCGTTGTTGACCTTATAAACTCTCATTTGGCTGATGTTGTTCAACTTGCAATGGTCTGCGGGGAAAAAACACTTCCCCGTGCGTACAACGCACGACTTGAAAAGATGGCGGTAATATCCCACAATGCTTTGGTAAGTCTGCATTGTCACGGGAGGGCGCCCTTATGGAATGACAGTACGGAGTGATTGAAATCTATTCAGGTTTTGAAAAATTGAATTGCAATTGAAAAATTTAAACACACAAACAAAATATAGATAAATTTGTGTTCCTTGCTTTTCATAACTAAGCAAAACTCAACTAGGAACAAAAAATACTTCCTTATGTTTAAATAAAATTCCCTTGTACAAGGAAAAAATTGCGTAGCCCAGTTCCTTGATGAGCAATTAGAACTTCCAAGGTTCTTTCAAGGATCATTTATTTTATCATTTAGCTGAAGTAAAAATAAAGTAAAACATATACGCTGATCAATATTTCCTTCTTCATGTGCTTCGGTTTAGATTGTAGCTTCTTTATTCTCGTGGTTTGGGTTAATATGTTACTATATTGCATATATTGGTCTTGTATTCCAGTTCCTTTTTAAATGTCAAGTACAATGCAATACAACAGATGCGACTGACACAAAATGAACACACTAGAAACGACTGTGAGATATACAAATATAATGCAACCAGAATGCAGTCCATACGTGTACTCCATAATAATAATAATAATACTGAACATTTATATAGCGCTCTAACTGTCATAGAAAGTGCCACAGCACTTTACACAAAAATTGACGAAAATCAAAAAAAAAAACCAGTAAACAGAACAAGAAATAAACCACATGCAAAATACATGAGTAAGCAATAACATATCAATTAAACAGATCAGTTAAACAGATCAATTAAACAGATGGGTTTTCAGGGATTGTTTTGATGTTGCTAGTGAGCTAGTTTACTCCATCAGGTTATTACTTGCAAAACTGGATAATTTTCTTGTCATTTTTAAGGGTACATTATGTACCCTTAAAAATGACAAGAACATTAAGTACTGTACATATTTAAGTGAACTAACGGATATAATTAAAAAACATGTAAATCTGGTCTTGAGTAATTTCATACTCTTTTGTGAAATTGTCTTCCAACGATTCTCGTAAATGAAATTAAACTGTCATTTTTTTTGCTCTACAATACATAGACGGCATTTTATATCACACTTGATTTACCTCCAAATTTGTCAGAAGATTCTTTATCCACATATTGGTAGTCTTTATTAGGCTCAGAACGGATATAATCCTGATACAGTTGTGCATGGAACCCATCCCCTTCAACAGTTATTACTTCGCTTGCTGTTAATGCTGGTCCTTACACCAATGTTTGCATCAAAGTTAATACAAACAATAACATAAAAAATGAAAAAAATAAAAAAAAAATAAAATAGATACAATTGTATTTGTCTTTTGACAGTATTATTACTGGTACCGTTCTTGATGGCTGTAGTACTTCTAGAAGTACTCAGATGTCAACGTTTGCAAGATTTTTACACAAATCTCATAAATTGCAGCCAACCATCTCTATAAAAATATAATTCTTTATACAAAACTGCACATGTATTTTCCATCTGTAGTTGGATCAATCCCAAAACTACTCAATAGATACTCACCTTTTGTTTTTAAACATTATACATAAAATTGTTATGTAGCTAACAATTTTCGACTTGTGAAGGAAATGGACCAAACCACCCCTACAGCCTCAGGGTTTGATAAGAAATCAACGAATACCATATCAGTGATACTTTCTTGCACACACGTACAGATTCAAAACCTATCATAATTTTGTTTGTCAATTTAAAATGTTTGCAGATACACAATCGGCAAATCATATACACTCCTGTTAGATTCGACCCGAATCCGGGTCAGATTTGACCTGACGCTTTTCCGGGTCAAAATGACACTTCCCAGCTAGGGCCACCATTCCGGCCATTTGACTAAACTAAACAGCTAATTGTCTTACACACAGCGTGATTCTGCTGACGATCTGAATCAAGAATGTGTTACGATGTTTATGTTTGTATTTCAAACAGGCATCCTACAGCGACACATTTTATTGATCTGTTTATTCTTGGATTTTGCACAAGTCTCCGATTTCAGTATTGATTATGTTTTTAGTAGAACACGAGGTTTGACAGTTTGCGAACAAAACTGTTATTTCTGAAAAAAACTTTTTTTACGGCAAACGCGGCCAAGATCCACACGTCCCAGTTTCAATTTCGTAATTATGTTCGGCATAGTCAAACATAATCCTTTCTGATGTTACTTTTTAATATCTTCTTGTAAAAGATGTTGCTTCCTATAGAACGCAACAATTATACGTGTATGACGAGTTATATGCAAAGGGTGCTCTCTAAATTCCAAAGAGTGAAAATTTCACTCGGACTGACGTTCGGAAATATGTTCACCCTATTAGACTGAATTTCTGATTGTTCGAGTGAATTGAAATTTAAGTGGATCTGCAGCTGGGATGAGTGAGGCCAAGACAATGACAAGTTTGTTCAATCTCACAAAGATTGAAGTTGACTATGCGTTATATCCAATCAGAGAAGTAATTGGAATCACGTGGTGGCACTATGATCCAATCACGAGTGCAAGTTTGGATCACGTGGGACGTGATATTTTCGGCGGGAACAACGGGAGCAAACGACATCCGCATACATGGTTGTTTAGCTCCCTCTACGATACTTTTGTGATACGCACGCAGGTATATGATTCTTATTTTCTCAATGTCTTGGCAAGCAGTGCGGTAGGCGTAATTTTTATTCCTAGGAGGGTTAGGGGCAATGTTATGAATAATGCATGTTTATCCATGAGAACGGACAATGACATCAACAGCATTGTTGTTAGTTACTCGACTAGTTACAATACATTAAAGCATTTTAAAGAACGGTTGTCGTCGAGCTACCACACAGTAGCCTGTGGATAGCGAGATGAGCTATGGATACAAAGATCCCTGGTTCGAATCCACGTCGTCGCTGCTCATTTTCATCAGCTATTTTTCTTCTCCAAATTTATCACTGAGATAATTTTAAATTAAGGGGAAAATAGAACGAGAACCTATGTCTTGTAATGATTCAAAGGAAAAACTGAATTATTCATGACATTGCCCCTAACTCTCCTAGGAAAAAAAATACGCGTGCGGTAGCTCAGTCGATAAAGAGTCGTGATTTTACACCGCGAGGTTGCGGGTTCGAATCTCGGTTTTGTACCCGACATTTTCAACATAGACCCGGCTTTTTGAGTGAATTTCTCAGTATTAAAATCACTCTCAAATCGGAGTGGCCAAAAAGAGGTTTTCCCTCAATCTTGTTCAATCTAAAATTAGAGTGATTTTCACCCTTAATCGACTTGTCCCTATTTCCAATGTGCTAAAGAGTGAAAACTAACTCCTTAAGAGTGAATTTTCAATCGCTGGAATTTAGAGAGTGCCTCTAGTGAATCTTAAGCGATGGAAAGTGGGACTGCAACTCATCCAATCCGTGAAAACTGTTGTTGTCAGAAAGGGCCAAGTCAGTCAGATTGGGCATGACACCTGCAGTCGCGGCAATGCACTCAATGTCTGTCGGTGTTAATGAGCAATGGTTTAGGTCCAACGTCTTTATGTTCGTAAATTCCAACAAATTCTTGGACCACATTTCAGCCGATCCCCCTAACGATGTGTTGCCGGCAAGGATCAACTTAGTTATTTCGGGAAAGTGGTCTAACAAAATGGAAATCGCACCAACATCTTTCCACGTTAGTAAGAATTTGCTCAGGTCCAGCGTGTGTTCTTTCCTTACTCTTAACAGACAACGGGACCACTTCTCAGTCGATGCGCCAAGCGCCGGATTGTCAGTGAGGATCAAGTCAGTCGGTCTGGCCTCGCGGCTATCAAAGCCAAACAGGTCCTTTAAATCATAGGGGTTGGATACAGCCGAGACAATGTCTTCAATGTCTGTCCATTGCAATGTACAATTGCTCAGGTTCAACGTAGTTAAGTTCCTAATTCGCAACAAACTCTTGATCCACATGTCAGCTGATCCACCCAACGCTGTGTTGCCGGCAAGGATCAAGTTGGTAAGGCTTGACATGTCACCTACAGCCGAGGCAATGTGTTTAATGTCTGTCTTTTGCAATTTACAATTGCTCAGGTTCAACGTCTGTATGTTCGTAAGTCGGGACAAATTATTGACCCACAACTTAGTCGATCCCCCCAACACTGTGTTGCCGGCAAGGATCAAGTTAGTAAGTGCGGGAATATTGTCTAACACAACGGAAATCGTACTAACATCTTCCAACGTTAGTGAGAAATTGCTCAGGTCCAGCGTGTGCTTTTGCTTCACTCTTAACAAGTAACGGGACCACTTCTCAGTCGATTCGCCAAGTGCCGGGTTGCCAGTGAGGATCAAGTCAGTCAGTTTGGGCATGTCACCTACAACCGAGGCAATACGTTGAATGTCTGACCACTGCAACGAACATTTGCTCAGGTTCAACGTCCGTATGTTCGTAAATCGCGACAAATTCTTCGCCCACTTCTCAACCGAATCCCCCAACGCTGTGTTGCCGGCAAGGATCAAGTTAGTGAGTCTGCGACTGTCACTTACAGCCGAGGTAATGTGTTCAATGTCTGTCCATTGCAATGTACAATTGCTCAGGTTCAACGTCTGTATGTTCGTAAATCGCGACAAATTCTTCGCCCACTTTTCAGCCGATCCCCCCAACACTGTGTTGCCGGCAAGGATCAAGTTAGTTAGTGCGGGAATGTGGTCTAACACAACGGAAATCGTACTAACATCTTCCAATGTTAGTGAGAAATGTTTCAGGTCTAGCGTGTGCTTTTGTTTCACTCTTAACAAGTAACGGGACCACTTCTCAGTCGATATGCCAAGTGCTGGGTTGCCAGTGAGGATCAAGTCAGCCAGTCTTGGCATGTCACCTACAGCCGAGGCAATGTGTTCAATGTCTGTCCATTGCAATGTACAATTGCTCAGGTCTAATGTCTGTATGTTCGTAAATCGCGACAAATTCTTCGCCCACTGTTCAGCCGATCCCCCCAACGCTGTGTTGCCGGCAAGGATCAAGTTAGTCAGTGCGGGAATATTGTCAAACACAACGGAAATTGTGCTAACATCCTCCAACGTTAGTGAGAAATTGCTCAGGTCTAGTGTTTGTTTTTGCTTCACTCTTAACAAGTAACGGGACCACTTCTCAGTCGATACGCCAAGTGCCGGGTTGTCAGTGAGGATCAAGTTAGTCAGTCTGGGCATGACACTTACAGCCGAGGCTATATGTTCAATGTCTGTCCATTGCAATGTACAGTTGCTCAGGTTTATCGTCTTTATGTTGGTAAATCGGGACAAATTATTGGCCCAAGAGTCAGCCGATCCGCTCAACGATGAATTGCCGGCAAGGATTACGTCAGTCAGGCTTGGCAAGTCACTGACAGACGAGGCAATGTGTTCAATGTCTGTCCATTGCAATGTACAATTGCTCAGGTTCAACGTCTGTATGTTCGTAAATCGCGACAAATTCTTCGCCCACTTCTCAGCCGATCCACCCAACGCTGTGTTGCCGGCAAGGATTAAGTTAGTCAGTGCGGGAATATTGTCTAACACAACGGAAATTGTGCTAACATCCTCCAACGTTAGTGAGAAATTGCTCAGGTCTAGTGTTTGTTTTTGCTTCACTCTTAACAAGTAACGGGACCACTTCTCAGTCGATACGCCAAGTGCCGAGTTGTCAGTGAGGATCAAGTTAGTCAGTCTGGGCATGACATTTACAGCCGAGGCTATGTGTTCAATGTCTGTCCATTGCAATGTACAATTGCTCAGGTCTAATGTCTGTATGTTCGTAAATCGCGACAAATTCTTCGCCCACTTCTCAGCCGATCCCCCCAACGCTGTGTTGCCGGCAAGGATCAAGTTAGTCAGTGCGGGAATATTGTCAAACACAGCGGAAATTGTGCTAACATCCTCCAACGTTAGTGAGAAATTGCTTAGGTCCAGCGTGTGTTTTTGATTCACTCTTAGCAAGTAACGGGACCACTTCTCAGTCGATACGCCAAGTGCCGGGTTGTCAGTGAGGATCAAGTTAGCCAGTCTGGGCATGACACTTACAGCCGGGGCTATATGTTCAATGTCTGTCCATTGCAATGTACAGTTGCTCAGGTTTATCGTCTGTATATTGGTAAATCGTGACAAATTATTGGCCCAAGAGTCAGCCGATCCGCTCAACGATGTGTTGCCGGCAAGGATTACGTCAGTCAGGCTTGGCAAGTCACTGACAGACGAGGCAATGTGTTCAATGTCTGTCCATTGCAATGTACAATTGCTCAGGTTCAACGTCTGTATGTTCGTAAATCGCGACAAATTCTTGGCCCACTTCTCAGCCGATTCCCCCAACGCTGTGTTGCCGGCAAGGATCAAGTTAGTCAGTGCGGGAATGTGGTCTAACACAACGGAAATTGTGCTAACATCCTCCAACGTTAGTGAGAAATTGCTCAGGTCTAGTGTTTGTTTTTGCTTTACTCTTAACAAGTAACGGGACCACTTCTCAGTCGATAAGCCAAGTCCTGGATTGTCTGTGAGGATTAAGTCAGTCAGTCTTGGCATGTCACCAACAGACGAGGCAATGTGTCCAATGTCTGTAAACTGAAGGTTGCAGTCACTTATTTCAAGTGTGTTCAGGCTTGTCAAGTGTTTGATATAAGGAGCCCATTCTATAGCTCTACTACCCAATGTTTGGTCACCCTTTATGCAAAGATCGGTCACTTGGTTGCATTTCAGTGACGACAAGGTTTTCTCAAGATCACCCTTCACTAAAGGACAACTGTAGAGCCTCAGAGTCATGAGGTTTTCCATGTAACCCAGGGCGGAAGCTAAATCACTGACCGAAGACAATGAGGAAACCTCAATAGTTTCAACGCGTGCCAGTTGTGCCGTGGGGCTGTCGGACTTACAGACGATGTCAAAGAGGTACATGAGACTGCGGAAATCATTATTGTTATGCACTTCGATAGTTGATGGGATATGCGAGTCGCTAGTGAGACACTGTGGGACCTCGCTTGACTGGCTTTCAAAAAAGCAGTTTCGACTAATCGCTTGTACAACACTTGATTGATACCTGGGCTCATCCTTATTGAACTTACGGTCAAGCAGGTTTACGATATGGGCCATGCACTCTTGATTGTCACCACAACAAAATCGAAAGAGAAAATCATTTGAAACAACGCCCTCAATGTTTGAGCACATTCTTCTCAACTTTCTCCGAAATTTGATTTTGTTCTTCACACGCGTATGCAATCCGAGGGTTGAATTCTTCAAACTCTGCAAGTATTTCGCAGCACCGTATTCCTGCATAGTCTTGTGCATGAATTGTACGTTCTTGTCGGATTTGCGGTTTTTGATGACTCTCTGCTTGGTTAGGATGCCCGCTTTAAGTGCCAGGTCCAGCGCACTCGTTTCAAACTCATCTTCTTGGAATGAGAATTTCTGGCTGGCAGTCATGAGTCCACGCAGCGCAGTTTTTCCTATGGCAATGACTGTTTTTAGAGCATCTTCTCCTGAGATACCTTTTCTTGTGAACATGTGATCAACTGCCTTAGTGAAGAGGCGTGAAGTTGTTTCTGGGAGTTGTTTACTCTCCCTCCACAATAAGCACATGAGAAGCAACATCATTGGAGTTTTAGCAAACTCACGCTGCGTGTTCGACTTTTCAATGGTTTCGGTTAGTGCTTTGCCACTATCAGGATCTTTGTCATAGAATTTCTGAACGTATTCATGAACGTCCTCGTCAGTAAACCCCAGAACCTCTACGTGTGTGCAAGGATTTTGGACAAGTGTTTTTGACATCAGTGTATCAACGTGAGAGGGGCGCGTCGATACACAGATGAAACATTCTTTGTATACTGTTCTATTGAGTGCTTTTAGGATAGAACCGAATGCTGCATCGAGTGTTTTGGCCCTCATTTCATCAAAACCATCCAAAAGAATCAAGACCTCATTTGGGTTGGCCAGGATGAATTCATCAAGTTCATCTGTTTCTATTCCCGACTTCTCTCCTAGAAGTTGATCAAAAATGGAAACAAGAAGATCGGATTCTTGCAATAGGTCACACATCTTTAAAAGAAAGACAAGTTTGAATCTATTCAGGATTTCACTTGCCTCATCGGCCCAGTCGAATGCAATCTTATCAAAAATAGTTGACTTTCCGACACCTCCTATACCAAAGAAAATGAGGCGTTTGATGAGTTCCCCAGTTCTTGTCCTTAATCTGAATATTTTGGCATACTCTGTTGAGTTTACAGTTTCTCCTTTCTGGCCGGTGACATCTGCTACCCCTTCCCGTTTTTCTAACTGTACTTTAGTGTATATACCACTTATGTGCACTTGATCATTATCAACCCAAGGCAACAACTGCACGTAACTGCCCGTTGTTTTATAAACACTCTTCAAAATGTCCCTAGTTTTGTTACCAGCTTCTTGGTAGTTAGAAGTCCCCAGCCTTAGTTCTTGGTCTGGTCGCTGGCTTTGCTGAGGTCTGGGTGCAGACACTCCTATTCAGATCAAAATAAGTTACATTTATCGCTTCTGCCTTAAACACTGTTTCGGAAACGGATTGAAAAGTCTTCCTCAACGGAGGAAAAAATATAAAGGAAATGACAACTTGGGATTTCAAATGTGTTAATAAGACAAAAATTGTCAGATGTTGCCTTATAGTGCATTCACTTTTGTAAACCGACAAAAGTGCATTCCTACAAAAAGAAAAATCGGCTTCGCCGACAGGTCACTTAACCGACTATAATTCATTCTTCATCAACAGCCCATTTATTCCATTTATTCAAGTTTATCTGCACAATTAATGTGCGCCTTCAATAAAGCTCTATTCAGCTTGTTTTTAAAAATGTAACGTGCACATGGAAGGCACTATTTGTCGTGGGTAAACAGAGGAACACATTAATAGACTTAACCACTTAAAATAGCGCCCTCCCTTGAACTTGCTAATAGTTTGTACCAAAGAAACTTGGTAACTCTCTAGCTTGCGGAACTGACCATCGGAATTTTGTGCTGGTGGCCTTGTTTTATGCAGTATTATTTTTGAAATTCTTTCATTTTAATTAACGAGATTATATTTACCTGGTCCCTCCAACGGGAAATTGTAATTGATGTTAACTGCACTTGAACCAACAATGATAGGGTTTTGGCTACCGCTGACTGCGCCGGTGTTAACTATGCCGGCTCTTGTTCCTGGAGAGAAATAAAGAATCGGTATTAATGAAGTATTAATTAAAATATGCCAAAATGGGCTTAAAAATAATTAAGTACTCGATGTCATCTGTAGTTGTCATCTGTGCTTGGAAAACTGTGACTTTGAATGAAGATAATTATGACAAATCTGACTGTTCAAAATGGGATGTTGAAGCCAAGAGAGATTACCCCTTCCCTCCTTCATCAAGGAGTTCTTTAAAACCATGATTTTTTCTTTATAAAATCAGGCTTTTTCACTATCAGGCCTACTATGGAAGACAAGTTGTCATGTGATCAAGTCTGTCAAAGCAACGAATTTCCATATTGTAACTTCTTTTTAAACCCTCTAGGAATATCTAACGTGCCTCACACCATGCACAAGTAATAATTTTAAAAATGCATACAACACTCATTGGGCAGTTGATTAAAGTGTAGCAATATCAACTACCAGGATACTGGGTGGAATGATAATAGCAGTGTATTACAATTGGGTTAATATTTAAAAAAAAAATTGATTTTGTTCGAATGATTAAAATCAGAATTTTAATCAAATGATAGAAAATAAACAATACCTAGACTTCAAGCAAATAATCAAGCAACTAATCACCTGTTGCAGCTGAGGGGCCGGGTACCTGAGCCCCCTGTTGCATCGTGGTAGGGACATCAGTCCGTTGGCAGGCTGCTTCAGATTGTTGCATCGTGGTAGGGACATGAGTCCGTTGGCAGGCTGCTTCAGATTGTTGCATCGTGGTAGGGACATGAGTCCGTTGGCAGGCTGCTTCAGATTGTTGCATCGTGGTAGGGACATCAGTCCGTTGGCAGGCTGCTTGAGATTGTTGCATCGTGGTAGGGACATCAGTCCGTTGGCAGGCTGATTCAGATTGTTGCATCGTGGTAGGGACATCAGTCCGTTGGCAGGCTGCTTCAGATTGTTGCATCGTGGTAGGGACATGAGTCCGTTGGCAGGCTGCTTCAGATTGTTGCATCGTGGTAGGGACATGAGTCCGTTGGCAGGCTGCTTCAGATTGTTGCATCGAGGTAGGGACATCAGTCCGTTGGCAGGCTGCTTGAGATTGTTGCATCGTGGTAGGGACATCAGTCCGTTGGCAGGCTGATTCAGATTGTTGCATCGTGGTAGGGACATCAGTCCGTTGGCAGGCTGCTTCAGATTGTTGCATCGTGGTGGGGACATCAGTCCGTTGGTAGGCTGCTTCAGATTGTTGCATCATGGAAGGGACATCAGTCCGTTGGTAGGCTGCTTCAGATTGTTGCATCGTGGTAGGGACATCAGTCTGTTGGCAGGCTGCTTCAGATTGTTGCATCGTGGTAGGGACATCAGTACGTTGGCAGGCTGATTCAGATTGTTGCATCGTGGTAGGGACATCAGTCCGTTGGCAGACTGCTTCAGATTGTTGCATCGTGGTAGGGACATCAGTCCGTTTGTAGGTTGCTTCAGATTGTTGCATCGTGGTAGGGACATCAGTCGATTGGCAGTCGATCGGCGATTCCTTGCGAACCCTTTTAAGCGAAAAAAAACCCATGCATTTTGGATGTCACAAACTCATCAGACATGTTGCCATGAGCTGACAACACCTCCATGATACAGAATGTAATCCAGACAGTGACGTTCTTATATTTATTATTAATTAAAGTGTCCATAGAATGAATTTTATCCATTCTAAGTAACCTTTTTTGTGTAACTTTATGTATACTCCTCTAAAAATTATTTGACTTTTTTGTTCTGAAAATGTGCACTTACTAAACATGTTTAAACAAATCGTCTTTGCCAACTGAGAGCGTTGTTGCTGGTGTTTCATTTCAAGAAAAAAACTGTCCCACTTGGGAGTTTTCTTTTTTCATTGTGAACCCAATATCTTCATACTGAAAACAGTTGAGAGAAAAGTTGCTCACTGGCTTACTGACACAACCACAGAGCACCAAAGAAAACAAAAGTTATAATAGCAAAATATACCAACTTCCGGCAACTTTTTGCGCTGAAATAGCTGAAGCATTGAGGTGACATCACACGTTTACCCGTGAATATGAACATTCGTATTAGCATAAAAAACAAAAAGGACATTGCTGTTCCAAAAAGGTTGTGATCACAAAAAAAATGTGTTCAAAATTACCAATGGCTAGCATTAAAGAAACACACACAAATTCACCGACACCTACTTTGTTGGGGAAGTTGGCCATTCCTTTGGAAAACACCATGCATCGTCACTATCATCGCTGGAGATGATGATTGGTTCTGTGGTACTGGTATATGTAATTTCTTTCTTGGAGGGGCAACGTTCCTTGTCACGTGAGAAAACAGTATGATTGAAGTGCTGGCCATGTTTTATGAGTATTACACTTGTTATTGGTTGGATCAAACTGCACTCTTCTTGTCTGTGAGGCAACAGTTCAAGACTCGTGACCCGGCTGGTAGTCTCTTCAACAACAACGATGCGAAGATTCAAGACCTGGCTGAGGATGTGGAGAATTAGGTCCACAGAGTCACTGCCATACTGCCCTGTCTGTGCCCAACTCTCCAGCTGTGCAAGTGTATCTTCTTTACTCAAAGCAGAATATGGCATGTACTCATCTACATGCTGAAGGAACTCATCGCGTACCATGTCCTTGACATTTTCCTTTGATAAACCCTGTGCACTTGTAGATGTGTGTGATGACTGTAAACCCCCATGAACAGCGTGAAGTATGCACAGTCCATCTTTAGGCACTTCCACCTCAGTCAATCTACTGGCATGTAGATATCCTCGCAGGGTCTTGTATCTGTAACATAATATAAAACTCAGTTTTGACAACAAAAGCCAACATATCGCCACTTGTTTTCCCTTTTTGTAATTTTTTTAAAAACTTTTGCATTATACCATTTGGTTTGAAGGTAATATTATACTGCATTTTGGTTTTGCTTTAATTTTCAGAAGTATTGCAAATATCAATACAATGACCTGAAAAAAAATTGAAGGAGGTCAGGGACAAAGTCTAGCTGGCTTGCACATGTTCACGGTCGTGAACCACGGATCCTACACACAAGGATAGACGACTGTTCTGAGCTTTAGTGCCGTACAAAATGCACTGAGCGGACTTGCCTTAATTCGTTGGACGCATGATAACGGGCATTAATACATGTTGGCACGTTAATCGCGAATGTTCTAGGTGCGCCATTTTGTCGGTTTGTTTATGCATGATATCAAAAACGAAAATATTCCTAAAACTGTAAGCAAAACCACTCCTTATGTACGATATACTTGTTCCAAAATTGTTTAAAAATAAATACTTCAGGATATAACAGATGGAATTGTGCAGCTGTTGTCGTCATATATGAAAGGAAATAGACGTCAAAGGTGACACCTTTTTCGAGAAGAACACCGTTTACCCAAATCTCGTTTTTAATTAGGCTTTTAATAAAACGTTTTGAAGAGATGTGGTCTCGAACCGATAAAACAAATGCCACATTTCATAGCTCATTTTAAAGCTAAAGATACAGTGCTTGCCGTTAACATTGTTATGTAGTTATTCAATGATAAGGCCAAAAACGTAGGATCATGAATATTCAAAGTATAATTAGCTGGCTTGACAGACTTCGACACAATTTCGGGTGCAAAGCCCTGCAAATCGGAAAGCCGCCACGCGCAAGGGTCTTTGTTGACAAGTATTCATGGTATTTGCCACCTGTACGGGCTGTTATCACACGTCTAACCAGGAGTTTGGGAGATTCGTTGATCCTTGTGTGTAGGATCCGTGGCGTAACCAATTGTAAACAAATCTGTACTAGCTAAAGACTAAAGAGGCATTTTTGGGAAACAAAGTCAGGAACTTTCTACAAAACTCTACAGGTGCGAATATTTTACAGGAAGCTTGGTACTATTATTCCCGGTGCAGTCAAGTAGGTCTTTTTATGGTAATTTTGTAGTTTGAGGATTTTCTGTGCTTGCAAATGTTGTATATTACCTTTAAAGTATTTAACCATCACAACATAAAACAAGGCAAATAGATATTTAACATAAACATTTTGTACATACCCTGTGTCCCTACACAGTGGTGTTATACTCTGACTCATGTTTCTCGTAATCCAGTCTCACCTGAATGAACACTGAAAAGAAAAAGTATTTTGGTACTGGAGCGTGTCTAGATTATGACATACATGTATTTGATCCTTGCCGCATGATGTCATGTAAGAAAACAGGATTGCGAAACATTTTGCCAACTTTTAGGTGAGCTAAAAACCAAATTGAAAATATCATATTCCCACTTCGTGTTCCTTCCTCCGTGGTTTAACTGAATGAAGTTTACAATCTGTCGAAAGTACATGAAAACGTCCTGTTATTTTTTTTTTAATAGGTGACACCGCTTTAGACACCGATAGACGTGAGCCGATGTCACAAGAATGCGATTAGATTGTGACTACATCTTTTACGTTGAGTGGAGAAAATCGGCTCAGTTTGGCAGACATTGTCTGATTGACCATGATCGACGCTAGCGATTCAAAATACTCCCATATGTTGTATACAAAATTGAAAAAGTATTCGCAAAGTCGGTTATTGAACATCAATAGTCAGCATCATTTGGTCTGGGAACCAGACTACCGCACTGCATGAAGCGATATATATTTTGAGTGCGTGGAGCTAGTATTACCGTACACAAAACAAAACCGACTTAGCGCCAAGTCTACGTATCATGTATCACATTACGAGATAATGCCCCCGGCTGCTGTTGCATTGCAAAACACTGCATTCAAATTGACCAATCAAACCATTAGACTAATCCTGATTTAGGAATGAAATGACGTCACGATTTAGTAAAGTCGACTTCGATTGGCTGAGTGGGGCTTTTGAGTGATACGATGAAACTTTGCACTTTGGTTCTTCATGCCATAAAGACAATTTCCAGATGTAGAGACATTTCATATTTGACCTCTGGTGACCCTTGAGAGGTCAATGATCTTTACATACACTATTTTGAACACCACTTTCCTATGACTTCAGGCAATGAACATCAAGATCAGATGTTTAAAAATTGACCTTTAGTGACCTTCCAGGGGTCAATGACCTTTGTTTACATATTTATCGTTATTATGATTTACTCTTTAAACCCCAACTTTTTCAAGACCAAGTCTAAATGTTAGGAGTTCATGCTATGATTTTTTGTTTCATATGTAGGGCATTTCATATCTGACCTCCGGTGACCTTCAAGATGTCAATAAGCTTTGTATGCCCTATTTATAGATATTTATAAGGTAAATTATTGGAAACCCAACTATTTTATGACCCAAATCTAAAGATTAGCTCTTTGTGACACGAAAAGAATTTTTAGATATGGGGACATCATATCTGACTTTGGTACCCTTTGATAGGTCAACAAACTTTATATACCTTATATTTCGCTTTTTTTTTTATTTAATCGTGAAATCGCTTTTGTTTTCCTGTCCAAATCCTCAATATTGCAAAAAAAGTATTGCACCTATTATTATTCAGTCATGTAATGAATTCATATCCCACCAAAAAATTGGGGTGACATCTGACCTTTGTTGGAGTGTGATTCTTGTCCAATGGACCTCTTGTATTCTGTTGCGCCCTTGTCTGCCCTTCAAAAAGGAAATGGAGATCAGAGGTCAGGCTTTAGTCACAAAGTGCACAATCGTATCACTCAACAGCCCAACTATATAGCCGGTGTCAGTTAGCGCTCTATAGATATTGTATTATTGTACCAAAGCAAAAACAACTCTGGCAAACGACGTGTCTGCTACAAAATCCACTAGACGAAGTTAGCAGGGTTAAATGTAAAATATAATGGCCAATGTTTGAGCACGGGTGTGTATACACAGTGCCTCTGATACCTGTGTCCGATACATTCACTGCAGGGAAGCCATTTTGCAGAATAAAATACATTTTGATGCCTTGCAATGAAACTGGTAATTATCTACATTTAGTAACACGTACAACAGCAAGGGCGGAGCCAGACTGGGACCTTAAGTGCTCAAAGTGATGTAAAAGAAGATCAGGCCAACTTTTCTCACCCTTTAGACAGCAAATTTCTCCAAAACTTTCAATGGGTAAAAGAAAAGGTCCTCAGTATTTCACCAACCAAGTTTGAAGACTCAATTTAATTTTTAAAGGAGACATTTATTCAATATATGACAGGCACATATGAGAGGGAAGTCAAGCGATTTCAAAATGAGGCTAAAACTAGACTTGTACATGTCAATCTACGGTCCAACTGTTTGATAAGCCTGACTTCTTCATTCCTTGTCATTAGTCTGGTGCCTGACTATGGAGAAATGTGTAGAAATAGTGACCTAGTACCCGACATCCTAGATATTTCTTGGCACAGTCAACTGACAATTAGTTGATGTAGTACTGAAGAGTTACTGGACAACTTGGACTGGTTGTTTCAGATGTTAGTCTCTTGCATTGCATGTTTTCAGTACCTTAAGTTTTGGTACTCTCATGCACAGTATTGAAAGTCCCAAATTTTCGGAGCAAGAAATCAGGTGGAAGAGAGGCTGACGTTTTAGTCTTGGTGGTTTGTGAATTATTTTGAAAGAGTGGATCAAGGGGACAAGACGACTTAGTGTGATAATCCCTTCAGGGTTAGATTGAGATACTCAAAAGAAAAGAAAAAAAAATACTCCTGCAGTGGAAATTGAAGAGAGAATTCAATTAATTTCATTTGTGGAATATTCACTCGGTCGTCTAGTTCTAGTGATCTGATACACGGCACCCTGTGGAGACATGGGTATAATAGCGAACAAAAGATTATATACGTCTCCACAGGGCAATTTCTCTAGAGAAATACGTCTCCACAAGGTTATCACGAAAAAAAATATGGATTTTACTCAAAAATAGGAATTTCCAAGGTGCATTGATCCGTCGCAAATTGAACTATTTTATGTAAGGGATATTAAGTCCGAATTTCAGCCAAGGAAATTATTTCTGGTTAATATAGAAGCATTTTGAAACTACATTTTCAAACTCGAAAACTTTAGAACACGAGAACAAAGAAATGTCTCCACAAGGATACAACTTGATTCCAGTATGGGTGTACAGTTGAGTGCATTATTATGGTGTTTGAATATCGTGGGATGGTGGGTTGTCAGTTCGGTTCGAACCCTTGTTTGAAAGTGATGATAATTCTTTTCTTGCTGATTATAGGTGATATAAAAAAAATAAAATTGTCAGAGTTTTTGAGAACATGTGTGGAACACTTTTTAAAGGGGCAGTTTTGCACACAGCCAAAAATAACGAATTACACATATAGTGAAAACAGGGTCACTTTAATGCGATAATAATTACGGACTAATTAAAGATTGGTTGAAGCTTCTACTTAATGTAAGTGTACCTAGAATCATGATCACTGAGATTATGAAATAGAATCGTGAGGTTTTGACAACGTGTGTAGTACATTAGATTTCTTTCAAATGTCGTATTTTCATGTGAACATTTCTAAATTCGTTCGTTAAAAACAGAGCAAAGAGTGAGGATTTCCATTCGGTAGCTACTTTAATACTTTTTACTGCATCAATATTTCACAAATGGTTTAAAAAACTGTGGCTATTGTTGTGAATTTTAATCTGGTATAAAAAAGTATTGTGTTTTGTGGTAAGTTTCGAAAA